GGTGCTTCAGATATTCAAGCATAATCCAATTATACTAAATTTTAGCGTCTTTTTTACTTATGTTATTGTCCATGTAATACGCGATAGATGGATTTCTTGCATCACCTCCACTTAATTGCTCCAGTTGTTCACTCAAATTTCCATCTTGGCCCAAAAGGCAATTTTCTCACTCTTATCCAAAAATGGAAAGAGATTTTTTATGGATATTTTCACTGCAAAAATTACCATCATTTTTGGATAGCGAATAAATTACTTGTTTGGTTTTTGCAGAGGAAGTCATCCATACGTCACTGGCCTAGCAATTATCGGTGGAATGTATTGGCTTGGTTTGCAAGGTGCCATTATTGGCCCAATTGTGCTATGCTCGATGATTGTTCTCCTCAACGTTTATTCGAAGTTTGCTAATGCCTAAATTGCATTCAAAAGCAGCGATTGATATAAACTCGTTTTGATATGTGTTATTTAGTTTTAGCAAGACAGTTAAGTGTTGTAGAAATTTTAAAGATACATACAATGAATATCCCTGGCCAGGATGAGATTGGAAGAGGATGGGGGCCTGAAATCGCGTCTATGTGTTAACATATGCAGTTTGTTTGGCATTACTGGCCCACCACCGTTGAGAGGAACACAGTCGAATTTTGATAATTAATGAAAACACTGGAACTAGTGCCATTTAGATCTCCCAAATAAGCAAGCCTGTATGTACCAGTGACTTTGTAACCTGTCTGTGTTTCATCACTGAGCTGCGCCTATTATTGCAACCAAAAATCACTTGATTGCCGTAATGGAAATTCGATTGGTTTTATTTTATGATTTTACAGTAGTGCTACCACTCATGTTAGTTTCCAGTGGATTGTCTCTTGTACTTATTTTATTGTTTTGATCAGCTACATTTTGTAAATATTTATCAAAACTATGTATCTGCCAACTTTTCCAATTGCTTTGACCAACGCTGCTTCGCTTGGTGATTAGCTTAAAATTCGTCTTCGTGAAGGGTTTATTATCCTAGCGGTTTTTTTTTTTTTTGATAAAAGGGATCGGCGAGGATTTTGCTGTTTCTAAATATTTATGGTTTGAGCAGCATTGCCTCATCTCGAACGTTGTCACTCCTAAATCACGGTTTTTTCTTACCGAAGAAAAGTTATCCCTCACAGACAGTGAATTATGGGAAGAATTATGAATTTTGACTCAAAATTGAGGGAAAATTGAGTTTTAATGAGAAAAAAAAACAGTGGAAAAAAGGTTATTTGATAGCTTTTTTTTAGCTGCGAGCGTCCTACTTACAACACTCTCAACTGTTCCCATTTTTTTGAGAATTTGGAAGTGGTGTCGTGGTGACCATGGAAGTGCAATTCCTAAAGAATTGGTAAGAAAAGCAAAAAATATGGTAAGAAAAACCTAGAAGTGGAACACTGTTTTGAGTAGAAGATGCTCCATCTGTAGCTATTTGTCCCGTCATTTGCTTTTAATCCTAAATAATGATGTATAAGCTAAGCTTCGCTTTCTCTCCATAATCTTTCATTTTTTCTCGTGATATTAGCACTGATACTTTGATCAGCTGTTGTTTCATCGTCATGTCGCACTTCCCCCCCCCCCTCCCCCTTGAAAAAAAAGAAGGAGGAGGGGGGGCACGGGCCTTTTTCACAGCGCTTTCTGTTTTCTGAGGCATTTTAGTGAAAAGGTATTCGGGTTTTCGCTTTTTCCTTTCTATTTTTCAGAGGTCATATGCGGATAATTTGGGCAGTCTTTGTGATTTATTAGTTTTATTCAAAATATTCGTGTTTTATCTTCCAGGCAGCTACGTAACTTCTGAGCTATCCAGGGTTTTTTTTTTCAAATTTTTGAGTGCTGATAGGTCACCAGATTGATTTACCATCTTCTTTATTGCATTAGGAAAGAGTTAGCTGCTAAACTTGTAGATGTTTTTTTTTCAGATTTATCAAATTTTTATTGAACTCACACGTAATTTTTGTGATACTCTCTATGATTTTCTGGGGTTTTTTCCAAATTCATCAAACTCCTATTAGGTCTGTGGTGCGTTATACCCGAAAGGATAATTAGGAGGGAAATTTTGGGAAAAAATAAGTGATAATAAAATAAAAATTAATTTGTAGTGGTTAGTTATCGTTATAAAATAAACTTTAATCTAACTGAAACACAATTTTTCGAACCAGTATGTCTTATATGTTTTTCCGCTGCAGTGCCA